AACATCATGCTAATCACCATGTAAAAAGAAATCATTAATCCACAATTCTGCCTTATTGACTATGTCAATGCCTTTGACTGTGTGGATCACAAAGAACTGTGGAAAATTCTGAAGGAGATGGGAATACCAGACCACCTGACCTGCCTCCCGAGAAATCTGTATGCAGGTCAAGAAGCAACAGTTAGAACTGGACATGGAACAACAGACTGGTTCCAAACAGGGATAGGAGTACATCAAGGCTGTATACTGTCATCCTGCTTATTTAACTTATATGCAGAGTACATCATGTGAAATATCAGTGTGGATGAAGCACAAGCTGGAATCAAGACTGCCAGGAGAAATAACAATAACCTCAGATATGCAGATGACACCACCCTTATGGCAGAAAGCAAAGAAGAACGAAAGAGCCTCTTGATGAAAGTGAAAGAGGAGAATGAGAAAGTTGGCTTAAAACTCAACATTCAGAAAACCAAGATCATGGCATCTGGTCCCATTACTTCATGGCAAATAGATGGGGAAACAATGGAAACAGTGAGAGACTTTAATTCTGGGGGCTCCAAAATCACTGCAGGTGACTGCACCCATGAAATTAAAAGATGCTTGCTCCTTCGAAGGAAAGTTATGATCAATCTAGACAGCATATTAAAAAGCAGAGACGTTACTTTGCCAACAAAGATGTGTCTAGTCAAAGCTCTGGTTTTTTCAGTAGTCATGTATGGATATGAGAGATGGACTATAAGGAAAGTTGAGGGCCAAAGAATTGATGCTTTTGAACTGTGGTGTTGGAGAAGACTCTTGAGAGCCCCTTGGACTGTAAGGACATCCAACCAGTCCATCCAAAAGGAAATCAGTCCTGAATATTCACTGGAAGGACTGGTGCTGAAGCTGAAACTCCAATACTCTGGCTACCTGATGTGAAGAACTGACTCATTAAAAGACCCTGATGCTGGGAAAGATTGAAGGCAGGAGAAGGAGATGACAGAGGATGACATGGTTGGATGGCATCACCGACTCTATGGACATGAGTTGGATAAGCTCCAGGAATTGGTGATGGACAGGGAAGCCTGGCGTGCTGCAGTCCATGGGGTCGCAAAGAGACACAAATGAGCAACTGAACTGACCTGAACCGAATCCACAATTCCCTCCATTCCACCCACTCCATAATCAGAATCACATAACTGTACCAAAAGGAACTATACTACTATGTGGTTCATTTTTATTAACTAAATTCACAGTCCATTCTCTAAAAGCCTATCTAATGACATGGAAAAATGAACAAGCAGAAGAATAAATGTGGCAAAATAGGTAGAGAATTAGGTCACTAAAATCTTTTCTAAAGATGGCCTGCCCTAAACTCCAAGATTCCTGATGGGTCCTTTGAAATCTTCTTTCCTCTGGATTTCAGATGCCTAATTAAAGCACTCTTTTCACTGTTTAATTAAGAAACAGATGTATTTTTTCCTCTCACAATTTTTGAGTTTTGTAACCTAGTAAACACACCACAACACTTTTTACCAGGATCAGTCCAACTGGGCTCTGTAACGCTGCTCTCCAGTGACTTTCCCATGAGTGAGAAACAATTTCCTACTTCTTAACTGGGCTAGAGAAAGCTGTATATGGTTCCCAAATTAACAGAATTCTTCCTTTCCTGTCACAGTTGTTGATAGTCTGGTTTCTATGCTACATAAGCCAGGTTCTTGGCTTCCACTGTATGAATCTAGACAAGTCACTTACAGTGACTTGGGACTCAGTTTCCACATCTTTAAAAATGAGAACTTGATTATCTCCAAGGATCTGTCTGGTTGAAATAGTGTACGATTCTCTGCAGATCACATCTATTAATTCTGTGACTAAGACACCTTGAAGACTAATTCCATCGTGGCTGCAGCTTCCAAATATGCAAAACATTTCTCATCACTCCCCCAGCCTCCAAAGGATAGTCAAAGCTACTGTAGAACAAACAATAATTAACAGTGAAGTTTTGTGTGCACACGTGTGTGTTTGTGTGTGTGAGGTCTCCTAATGAAGACTACGTAGCCACACAACAGTTAAGGTTGCAGTTTTTAGAGTCATTAGATTTCAAAAAGAAACTGAATCAGAAAGATAATCGAAAGACACATGCAAGAAAACAAACATTGAGTGTTCATTTCCAGAAACCAGTCCAATTAGCCTTGCTAGATCACTCAATTTCAATCAACACTGGGAATCTTGAACTAAGAGGCCTGTATGAGGCATTGGGGTGGGGGTGGGGGAGCAGAATAAGGAAGTGGCAGCACAGGATGCACATAGATGGAACTGTTTTCCTTCCAGGTAAGATTTTGTCATAATGATTAATCAAAATAATGTTAGAAAACTAAGTCCAATAATGAATGATTCACTCAAAAACTATATGCAAGGAACTCATCGAGGAGCAGATGAATTCTGGAAATTTAAAATCCTGTAATGCCCAGGCTGTGGCTGAAGTGGGAGTGGGCAGTCTGCCATCCATCAATAGCATTCTCCACACCACCCCTTCTCTAGTGCAGTCTGAAAACATAATATTAAGAAAAATGTACCCAAACATTAATACTTAAGGAAATATGCTGTCTCATGAGTCTCCTAATGACGTAGGAATTCAGTGACTGACTGGCCATCCAGTTTTAGTAGTCAATGAAAACATATTGGGAATTAGCTTCGAGCAGGGTGTTGAAAGATAAGTTCACATTAATTGCCTGGAAATTTTTTTTTTTCTTTTAATACATGAGCATCACGGATGGTATGCTCAGAAACAAGGACAAGGATCACCACTTATCAAGCATGCAGAGAAACATCAAATCACCAGTGAACAGCAGTCTAGAACAGCCCTTCTTCATTCATTTGGTCTCCATTGTCTCAGGCATTACATTAGTGCTCATCCAACTACCAAGTTTATTTCTGTTACAATGATCACTAGTGTTTTATTCAAAGAGATACACCATAGAAATGGGAGGAAACAGCTTCTTTAAAGTGAAAAAGGGAAAGCTTCAGGTGAGTCTCCCAGACGTCAATTTCTACTGTGAAACACCACTACCCAATGCAAATGATATTCCCTTAAGTTCTCTACTATCTGTTACCTTCAACTCTACTATGCACCTGAGGAGCATAAAAACATACATACTGTAAGTGAAGATGGGATACACTGTAATGATTTCCATTATTTCTCAAGGGCAAACTGTTTTGAAATGTGATTTTAGGTTACTAGCACTTATGTAAGAACACAAAGCTCTTAAATGTCTGGGTTTCTGACACAGGCAGAAGATGAAGGCAGAAAGAGTACTCAATAAAGTACTAAATAAAGAATATCCCAGAATCCCCCCCAAACCAAAATTGTCTCCAGTCTGACACATTTAAAAAGATGTCAGGCCAGAAAACATAAAATTAACCAAACTTTTCAAGTATCATGATACTTTTTCTGATAAATTCTATAGTTAAACCTACAATCACAGTTAAAAGTCTTAGAATGTAAAAACCTCACACATTTTATTGCCTCGCCCCCAAATTTTAAATAATATAAACCCTACTTTTACTAGTACACAGTGAACTTGCATTTAAGTAAAATTGAAATTACAGTAACAGCACAGCTTAAGGAAATCAATTTGAAGAGAAAATACGAAGAAACCCCAACCAAAGTAAAAGAGACATCTCTTTCCCGCTAGTGTTCTGGGTAACTTCTAAAGCTCTATGTGGTATAATTATTCTTTTCACATACAGGATAATAATGCTTACAGCTGTTGACACAAATTATGCCAGATATAGGGAAAGGGAAAAAAATCATTAGCTGCACAGGGTCTTCCAATATATGTTATCACAGATAAACCTGACAGTCAATCTAAGCTTCACATAACTTGATCAAACCTGGTAGAAACCGATGAGACAGCGACAGTTACCACTGACTAGGCTAAACGCTAATAAGCCATAACCTAAAGGTACAGAATAAGATACACCGCACGCCTCTCGGTATTACATACCTCTACTTCGCTCAATGTTTGGACTGAAACATGATTTTACCCGCCTCCATGCGTTTTCCCCTTTAATATAAATTATTTCGAAACCTGGCTGGCTAGGGGCGTAAAACATTTTCCCCAAGAGAAACCAACAGAGAGACACAAGCCTAGGGCTTTTCCTCTCTTTATAATTTTAATTAGGCATGTGCCTCCACCTCGACTTACACTTCTATTACCTCTCAGGAGGGTGTGAGAATATCAACATCCGGTCGTCCGCCCCCACCCTCTCAGGAGTGCCTCGCACAGCCGAGGATCAGCCTGCTCCTTCCCTTCCTGTCTCATCACCTTTGAGAAGCTTATCGAATACTTCTTCCCTTCGCTCCCCCACCCTTATTCATGGCTGAGCACTACAGGCTCCCCATCCTTCTTCCAAGGAAGGGACTGGCAAAAAAGAAAGAGGCGTGCTCGAGAAATGAAAGACGAAGAAACCTGACAACCGAACAGTTTACACCAGTGGGGCTGGCCTTTCTCTCCCACCTTGGCCTCGGACCAGTAGTCGGTTCCCTAAATGCTGAAATCTCTGTTCTCCACGCTCTCCCCACCCCCCATCCCCTCAGAGATGAGGCCGGAAAATGAACAGGCCGGGGTGAGCCGTGAGGCTGGGTCAATCCTATCGGAGCCTGCTGTCCCAGGGCGGGGGTCCCCGGGGAGAATGGAGAACGCGGGGGAGGAGCGGGGGGGCCCCCCGACCCGGGACCCCCCGGCGCACCCATCCGAAGACCCCCGGGCCCTTCCCCGTCGGCCTCCCCCCCGGCCTAGCCCCCCGCAGGGCCCCTCCCCGGCCCGGCACTGCAGCGGCACCCGGGGCGGACCCCAAGCTGGCCTCACTCGCACACACGCCACACACAAAAGCGCCGCGGCCGCCGCCTTCCCGCCCCCACAGCCCGGCGGAGCAATCAATGAGGCGGCCGGCGCCCGCGTCTCCGCCGCGCACAACAGACAGCGGGGCCGGACGGCAGGACCGGCGGCGAGGCTCACCATCGCTCCGCTTGATCTCCACGTAAATCCCGATCTGGATCTTGCCGAAGTTGGCCGTTGCCATCACCTCATCTGGAGCAGCGGCGGCGGGCCGAGGGAGGGGGACCGGAGGGCGGAAAAGGCGGGGAGGGGGCGGGGTAGGTGTGTGGCGGGGAGCGGTTGCCCGCGGCCGCGCCGGCCCGGGCGACAGCGTGAACACGAGCCGGGGCCGCGAGGAGCAGCGGCGGGCTGGCAGGCAGAGGCCCGGGGCCTGCAGGCCGGCGGGAGGACGCGCACGCCGGGGCGTCGGGGTGAAGCGAGGGCCGGGGCGGTGCGGCGGCGCGGGGGAGAGTGGGAGGGCCCAAGCCGCCCGCCCAAGAGCCGACGCTAGGGGGGCGGGGCGCCGGGCGCCTGCGCAGAGCTTGCCTCCCGCGTCTTTTCCTGGTCAGCCAGCCTTGCCCCGCTGCCTGGAGGCGGCCCCGCCCAGCTCCGTGGCTGGGCGGGCGGCGGCCGAGGCTAGGCCGGCGGAGGGAGCGGAGCGCGCGCGGCACGGCCCCCAGGGAGCCTGCGTCTAGTTTGAGTTCTGCGCGCGGCCTGGAACAGGCGGGAATCCGCGCTTCCAAGAATTTGCACTGTTGCTGGAATAGATTAAGCGCCCTGCGGTTTCTGGGCTTTACGGCTGGAGCGCGAGGCTGGGGGATGTGCATTTAGGGGCAGCCATTGACAGCATGGGTTCAGTGTCTCATCGGACACTGTCACCTCCATTGCTTCTTAGAGGTGGCCTGTGCAAGGAGACGTCCCAAGGCTTCCCATCCAGAAGAAGAAACACCTTTGAGGTGTCACCCACACTTAGTCGGAATGAAGATCCGCTTTTCATGGCCTTGACTTATAGCTCATCGCCATTCAAAAAGAAACTCGGCGTGGGCGGGGACTGGGGGATTTGACTGCTGGATTTATGAGGCATCCGATGCAGATGTCTTGGCTCTGCTGTGGAGTTCAAGACTATTTGTCCTGGACCATAAAACCAGTAACTATGATTCAAGAACGGAGGGGAATAAACTTGACTAAGGAATGTGCCTTTTCGGTATTCAGTTGATGAGTCTGACCACACCAGCGTGTGGAGAGCAGGATTCTTCATCCTGGCAGAACAGGAAGGCCTTGTGGACAGGGACCGTGGAAACTATGTTTACAGCACTGTGTACAACCTCCAAACATGTGACATTTGCTTCTAGTTTTAGGACTTGATATGGAGGAAACACACTTATCGTGTCCTACAATCTAATCATTGTTAATCTCCCTGTAATGATAATTTAAAACATACGGTTTAAAATAAATAAATAAAACACACGGTTTTAAAATTTAAAAATTGGAAACTGGACGTATGTGTGTTAAGTGTGTGTAGGAGTATATGCAAATGGCTAGAGTTTTTATCCTAATATAATCAAGTCAAGTAGACCCTAAAAATTTTGTTGAGAAATATTTGGACTCTGTAACTTAAATGTATTGAAGGCATACTTGTCAAACAACAAAGTTTCTTAGATCCAGTCTAAAGTAAAAATAACGTCTGTGAGAAAAACACTAGGTAGACAACTTTGAAAATAACCAACTTTTACGTATCAGAAATGACATTATTGTAAATCTCAATTTAGGACCTCTTTCAAAATAAGATTCGACCAAATCAGGATTCAGTTTTTATGTTTTTTTATTATCTGGAGCATTTTATCTGAACTCTGAGCTTCTGTCTAGTAGAACACCTCTGATGTCTCTATGACTGACATATAAAGTATCTATGTATTTGCTTGCAAATTCTTTAAAGAATACAAAGAAATCAAGCTATACATCTATTAAATTTAAAATTGCTTCATAAAATGTGTTTTATCATGGTTGCTGACACATACCTTGTCCTCTGTGGGCTATGTAATTAAGAAGCCTAAACCTTTAATCCATAGTCAAAGGTATTTAAAAAATATATACATTATCCTGCTCTATAAAAAAATGTATGAGAAGTGCTACTTGTCAAACATAAAAACCTTTCCTTTATAGGTCATACCCAAAAGGTGTATGTTTTTCCCTATACCCCACCCAGCATTTATATTTCCCAAGACTTGCATCTTGGCCTTTGTGCCAATGGCCTTCTGAAGAGCACCGGTAAATAAATGCAGTGTGGCTACGTTTCCATCAACATCCTACAGCAAGAATTCTGACTCTGGCTCCAGCCTTAGCAAACTACATAACCCTGACTAGAACAGTGACTGGCATATAGTAGGCACTCAGACATTTGTTCAATGAATTAACTTGTTAAATTGCTCCAAATCTCTGTTACTTTCTTGAACAGCCTGGAAAAATAACTTCTATTCTCTCAAATGCAGAAAATTTTCATGCGGATCAAATGAAATAATAAAATGTGATAGTACTTTGTATTTATAAGTATAATCGAGTTAAAAAAAGAGAGTAAACCACCCTATAAAACATAGCCCAATACTTTACTGTAACCTTCAAATCATTAGTTCAAATTTTATATCCAGTGATATAAAATTAAACACACTTTGCAGTTTGGCTCTAACCCTCGACACCTCATATCTGAGATATGAGATAGCAAGAGCTTAACAGACCTGTCTGTATTCTTCTACCCACTTGAGTCCTTCCTACCTTAACTTACAGAATAATTTTGCTCAAGGATAATTTCCATCAAGTCATATCCTGTTAATAGTGGCTGCTCTTGTCCTTCCTTATCCTAAATTGATAAACCATTTCAAAAAAAATCGTTTCTGTAATAAAGTCAAGCCAATCTCCTTATAAAGCCTAGATTAAATTTTTTTTTTCTCTGCTCTGGAGTCATGAGTACATAAACAGTAAGAGATTATTCCAAGAAAGAGGCTACTAAGTCAGTGAGCAAGATTTGAAGCAGCGGCCAGCACTCGTCGGAAGCAGTTACTGCTCCTCTGGCAAAGAGCAGAGGAAGGGCCTGGCTTCAGTTCTAGCTCAAATTATATGTGCTTGTCTACATCTTATTTGAAATTTTCCATTCAGTGTTTGCATCTGCTCTCAGTTACTTCCACAAAATTTGTGAATCGAGGATCGAATGGAAGGATAATAGAGTTGATAGAAAGTTTCTTTGACTTTATTGTCTACTTTCTGTCCTAGGCTGTTTGGGAGACTCTGTCAGTGATTCCCATTCCCATTAAATTTACTCAGATTTTAATTCTAATTAAACTGGTGTAATTTTACTGTAATATATTTTAGTCCTTAAACGAATACATTAAAAACACTTGGGAGATATGAATCCCAATTGTACCCACTTTATAATATCTGCGCTTTTTCTCTATTGGACTTCTCTTCCTGCCTGCAAACATTTTCAGACTCTTTTGTCTCAGAAAAAAATTTTCTTGATCCTTCTCTTCCTATTCAAATTCCATTCTCTTTTTTTCTTGCCCTCCCCTCCCAAATTCTCAAATGACTGCTTTAAATACTCACTACCTTGATTCCGCGTCACTCATTCATTTTCTAACCCCTAAACCTGGATTCAGTCCTCTAATGTATTATCTTTTTTTTAAGTCAGCAATTACCTTGTAATTACCTCATTCAGTATACACTACCATCTTTATTTACCTTGAATTCTCTGGAGAATGGCCGACCTGCTCTCTCCCAAACGATACCTTGCCCATTCCCACCTCAGTTTATGCTCACAGGGTAAATGGTTTACTCTCCTCTTTTTTAGTCTGTGGGATCTTATTTCCCCGACCATGGATCGAACCTATGACCCCCGCAATGGAAGCACCGAGTCCTAACCACTGGACTGCCAGGGAATTCCCGTATTCTTCTCTGTTTAAACCTTTTCCATGTGGCAAAGCACAGCTGTAGGCACACAGGCTTTCTTTATGATGTTTTGTCCACTCAATCTAATCTATAATGACTGCTGTCTGAGGGATTCTCCCCCAGCCATGATCATCAGACACACTTAAGATATATTTTAATAAAAATACATAAGCACAAACTTTACTTCAAGCCTAACAGTTTAAAATTTCCAGGGGGGGGGGGAACTTAATGTGGTCTGTTTTTTAAAAAACTCATCAGGAAGATTCTGAAATGTATGTATAGCTGGTTGAGAACTATTGATTATCCCTGAATTCCATAATTCGGTATTTTCTATATACTGGCCAGTTAGAGACTAGGTACTGAATAGACATTGATTGGTTATTTATCTAGTCTACCTTCTTTGTTATAATTCTTTCATGTATACTTTTTGATAGTCTACTTAATAAACTTGTTTTGATAGTATACTTTCATCTATACCTTTTAATAGTGTATTAGATTATGTTAACAGTCAACTTTTGGTAGAGAGCTAATTTTAAGGCCTTTTAAGGTCCATATTGGACTTAGATCTGTATAGAAATATCAATAATGTGGTATCATATTCAACTATTGTCTGCATTGAAGTATTACTAATCCTTATCTTTGACATGAAGGGTTCGCCTTTTCATTTACACTACTGATTCCTCTCAAATATAGGAAGTGTAGAGGTTTTACCTTACACCAGATTTGCAGTAATTTGATGAGTATAACTCATAAATAACAAGAAATGGTCTTTTCACCATTTGGAGTAATATATTCAAAGTGAAAATCATTTCTATATCCTTACAATAGTTATTTTGTATATTATTACAATAGTTATTGAAGCTGAAACTCCAATACTTTGGCCACCTGATGCGAAAAACTGACTCATTTGAAAAGACCCTGATAATGGGAAAGATTGAAGGCGGGAGGAGAAGGGGATGACAGAGGATGAGATGGTTGGATGGCATCACTGGCTCAATGGACATGAGTTTGAGTGAACTCCGGAAGTTGGTGATGGACAGGGAGGCCTGGTGTGCTGCAGTCCATGGGGTCACAAAGAGTCGAACACAACTGAGTGACTGTACTGAACTGAACTGAACTGACAATAATTATTAATTCGAGAGCTTAGTAAACTCTTGTATAGAGTTGCTGTGGAGCATCAATGAAGTAAAATAGAATGATTGATGTTGTGCTACCCATACTCATTATTTTAAAAAACTATGACCGGTGTTAGTTTGTTCAATATATTCA